AATGGACGAACGCCCGTGGTGTACTCCGTCTGAATCGGTCAGCCAGGGAAATGGACGGTAGTCAACCGCTACCCAACCTCGCGAGGGCTCGGATAGCCATGCTCAGATAATCCTCATCTCTACGTCTTGATCTACTGTTGGGAGGCCCGCTGAACTGTGCGCGATCCGTCAAACCAGGTCGCGGCATATCTGTCCTGAATGACACGAATACATTCGGCGAATATTGAATAATCCCCAGTTGCTCACGCCTTGGTAATCGTGACTTGAACGAGAACTTATCAGCACTATCAGCTATCTAAGAACAGTGTTCTACGATCTAAGATTTTGTGGCATTCTGCTTGGCCGGCAAGAGTTGAAGAGAACCCAAGCACCGTAGTACTCGCTGAAACTCAGAGCATCCGGCCAGGACCCAAAGTCGAATGCAGGGCAACGCCGTTCTTTGCAGGGCCTCCCTAGACCCTGAAGGTCATGCCCTGCTGGTTACAAACCGGTCCCCCAATCTGGACTTCACATTATCCAAGAAAGACCGCCAGATCCCATGGCAGTTGCCGGATTACTGAACTTGGCGCAGCCGGAGCGGCAAACGACGTGGTGCAGTCTACTTCAATGAGTCGGGTTCAGACAGACATTCTGCGGAAGTCATCGCGCTGGGGAATTTGCATTAGCAAACGAGCCTCCTACCTGGTCGTGATTGTGGTTGTCGTCTGTCGCATCTGTGGAGAACATGCCTGTTCCTGGCAGGGGGAAACCCCAGGTTTCCTGACGACGGAGTGCAACGCCTGAGACCAATTCTGGCTCGTTCAGGCAACTAAGAGACCAAATCCACGAAAGGGGCAGTCAAAAGCCACAATATTCACTTTAGATTTCTCCCGTATGTCATCGCAATCGTCGTGGCGTCCACTGGAGCAAGCCGGGACTGTTGCGTGTGGATTGGCGAATGGTCTCTGTATTTCTGAGGTAACGAGCCCTTTGCCGCGCTCGATCTCCATATGAGGATGCCGCAAACAATTCAGGGCATGCCTCATCCGCAGCCACCTGTCTTCATACGCAAGCTGCATGCTCGTAGGAGAAGTAGGGGTGGCTCTTATCCTGGATAACCGGAAGCAGACATAGAGGCGTGAGAGGAGCGCCAGTTGCGAAGAAATTTTCGAACACCAAGACCGGAGTGGCTGACACATCAAGCGCTGCGGCGTTGCTTGTTCAACTCTTCTTTCTACGGTCCACCTTCTGGGAAGCGTACCCGGGACATTATTGGCACGCCACGAGAACCTCACTCAAGCCAATTATAACACATTCCGACTGGCGATGTAGAGACCCTCGTCACTCGATCCGAGACACCTTTGTCCCTGCTTGCCCAGCGATTGAGAACCGAGGACCACGCTTTCGGCGGGATTGTGGAGGTTTGGCCTCTGTCCTCTCCTCATCATCCTGCTGATTCTTCGAGACAGTCTATCCAGTGCACCAACTGCCGAAAGTGGTGCTTTGGATCACGGACCGCCAACCTGGACAAGCCGCAAAGCCAACTCTTCTAGCAGCGTGCTTCTATGCAGAAGCGGACTTCTTATGGCTCTCAGGACCTCGGGGTAGTGGAATTCTACCGGGTTTTCACTCACTTGCCCACGATGTGATTGGCCTCCAACGTCGAGCGTCTATCAGAAGCCAGCTCTCAATGGTTAAGCCAAGCCGGTATCTTTGCCGGTCATACCCAACGGAGGGTTGTGGCCTTCTAACTATGTGGTCATTGTTAATCCGACGGCGCCCCAAAAGTACTCGACTCCCCACAAATGGAACCCCAAACCCCCGCAAACATCTTGGCCTGAAAGCGACTATCACCGTGGTCGCGCATATTGAGGAGCTTCTAGAGAGACACCATACGGGGCTAACGATGTCCAAACACGAATATATGTGGCACGGTGGAATACCGCCTGGTCGATCACGGCAGTTGATCAGACACAATTGCCGCCTATTCACTCCAACCTCCACACATGAGCTGCATATCACCTTCACCGACCCCAATATAAACACCCGAACTCCATCTAGGCAGTCTTTGCAGGGTCCTGTCTCTGTTGGTGATTGAGTCGACCCCAACTAAAGGGCAAGATGGCTGCGGAAATCGTCAATGTCGTGAACACCCCATTAGACACGGAGAAACAGGTCCAGGAGACGGTCCTTCATCTCGAAGATGCACTCGCCTCGCTGAATATCGACCCCAAAGAGGCAGATGAAGCTTTCGCTTTCCTGCGGGACCATCCAAACGCCGACGGCGTCACCCAGGAAGCAATTAGCATTCTTGCGGATGAAGGGAGGCGCAAACAGCTCCTGCGGAAGATCGACTGGGCAATTCTTCCCTGTATGATCGCGACGTATTTCCTGCAGTTCTTGGACAAGACGACAATCGGCTATACTGCTGTCATGGGCCTCCGTGATGACACGCACCTCAAGGGCCAACAATACTCCGACGTCGCAATGATATTTGTAAGTGCAGCCGATTAACCTTTTTTGGCCCATCTTTCCATGGTGCTGATGGGATGATCAGTATATTGGCTACCTGGCCGCGGAATTTCCAACTCAGTATCTCGCCCAACGAATATCGAGACTCGGGAAATACTTGGGCGCAAACATCATCCTATGGGGGGCCGTTTTAGCAGCTCATGCAGCAGCTCAGAACTATGCTGGCTTGATGATCTGCCGTGCGCTGCTGGGAGTCTTCGAGTCGGTCGTCTCGCCAACACTTGTACTGGTTGTCGCCATGTGGTACAAGAAGTCCGAGCAAGGACGCAGAATCTCCTACGTCTACGTTTGCAACAGGTAGGCACTACTTTTCCAACATCATTCCTTGGCTGACATTTTGTTCAGTTTGACATCCATCTTTGCTGGTCTTGTATCCTGGGGTGTGTCGCACACACATAACAAGAGCTTCGCAAGCTGGCGAATCTTCCTGCTCACGATCGGCCTGGTGACCGTGTTGGTTGGCATCATTGTCTTCTTCTACCTCCCAGATTCGCCCGTCAAAGCCCGACGCTTCACAGATGCTGAGAAAGTCGCGACACTTTTGCGGGTCAAGGACAACCAATCGGGGACGCAAAATGCCCAGATCAAACGATCTCAGATTTTGAAGACGTTCAAGGACCCCGGGGTATATCTTGTGGCAGTCTCTGTCGTGCTATTGAGTGTCCCCACCGCTATTCCCAACTTCTCCAGCATTCTCTTGGCCACGTTCGGATATACCTCACAGCAAGCTGTAAGTGACCATGCTTCCCAGCCTCATGGGGGGGTCGCGCTGACCCGAGGCAGCTGATTTTGAACATCCCGGGCGGCGTGGTCGGAGCTGTCTCGACCATCCTCATCGGCTACCTCAGCGACAAGTGGAATGATCGAAGTCTCGTCATGATCATCAGCATTCTCCCAACTATCGCCGCATTTGCCATGATGATCGGACTGGATCCTGGTGAGTTCGATGAGGGATTCAACTGGGGGGACACCTTCTCCCGACTGCAGTTCTCGACGACTAACATAACGTAGGCGGTGTTCCCAAGAGCAAAGGAGCTCTGCTGTTTGCCTTGTACCTCTGCAACTCGTTCACATCGGTATGTGTCTCTCTGATGTACTGTCTTGCGCCAGGAACTGACACCGGTGGGTTTCAGGCCTTTATGCTCTTGCTCGTCTGGAACGCCTCAAACCTAGGAGGTCACACGAAGAAGGTGACAGTCAACGCATTGACGCTCATGCTCTACTGTGCCGGAAACATCGCCGGCACCGAGTCCTTCCGCGCATCCGAGGCCCCCGGCTATATCAGTGGCAAGGCAGCTATCATGGCCACCCTGTCAGCACAGTATGTCACTCCCGATATCCTATGTAGCGTGTCGACTCCTCAAGGTCACGAATAGCTACGTTTCTGCTCCAGGTGGCTAACATGTCTACGCAGGGTACTGGTCTGCCTCGTATTGAGGTTCCGCAACGACAGACTCAACAAGAAGAACCGAGAGAAACTTGCGGCCATGAGCGAGGACGAGAAGGAGAAGCTGAGACAGCAACTGGCGTACGCTGACAAGACGGACAGAGAGAATCCATTCTTCGTCTACACCCATTGAGTGGTCGTCCAGGATGCGCAAGCTGAAAATCGGGAACCAGATGTCGTGAGCGCCCTTTTGGAGTTCTCACTCAGATTACTCTGTACAGTGTTTGAGAGGTGTGACAACCACAGCGACTCCGATCGATCGCTCGAGGACCACGCGTTCATCCGCCCAACCAGACATCACATAGCAATGAAGCTCGAGTACCAGGGCGTTTGCTTCTCATCGACACTTTTCACCGATTCTACACGCCGTTGATCTTCGCAGCTAGGTCGGTATGGAAGGCGATGGGATGAGCTCGAGTGCAATGAAGATATCACACATAGTAAGCCATGCCATGCCGCGCCACCTCAGGTATGGCAGAAACTGCTCGAGTTTCATCTCGAATGAGACTCACGGTGATGCTGCCCCCTGTGCTCGTCCACAGCTCGCGTCCATAAGATGCTTAAAGATCACCCTGACTGTACTGCTTCACGCCTTGGGGAGAACCCCGGCTAGGCTAGGACAGGCATCCTCGTAGTTCGTGTGTGGTTGCTTCCAATCGCTTTGTGATGATGGACCACTGCACAGAAAATACGCAGTGGGAGTCTCGGTGTTTGTTGGCGTTGCGTTCAAGCACTTGCAAGCATCACAGCGTTGGCAGATGGCCAGATACTGCAGCATCTGGGATGCACGAGTGGCTTGTCGAACACTGTACGAGTGCTTTGTGCACGCCACTTCTTGACGACCTCTCGTACCTCCTTTGTTGCTCGCGACGTTGCGGAGTCTTCGGTCACCTGACTTAGAGAAAAATTTTAAATGAGACGCACCCGTGAAGCCGAGCCCTTATTTCCCAACGTCCAGAGTAATCAATAGGATAATTAAGGGACAAACCACCGATCAAAAGAGAGAGCCAACAAGAAAAAAGGGGGGGCTGCAAAAAAGAGAAGGACGCGACGGGATTCGAACCCGCAATCGCTTGATTCGTAGTCAAGCGCGATACCATTTCGCCACGCATCCTGGGATGTGGCTATGTGTCGCGTTATCAATGCCTCAATTTGTGACTCAAATTCAAACCTAATCAAATATATCCTGCAATTTTACTCTGTCACGTGTTTACGTGGATCCTTTGTTCGGGTTGCTGGGCGTTTGACTCGTGTGTGTGGATCGGGCGTATGGGTGTGAGTCACTACGTATGTACCTCGTACTCCGCAGGTGACAATTGGTGACATTCACAGGATACGTGTGGAGGATGCTAATTACCGTACAGTGTGATCCCGGGAATTACGGAGTGTACGAGGTAGACAGACATTATTTCCATCAATAAGCTGCATGTAGGACAGGGGACGGTCGCATGTCGCGTCCCTTGCGTCCATCGGCACGGATAATACGTATATATGGAGTACATGCATGCGTACTCGGTACGGGTCTACTTATTCTTCACGATGTCCGTACGGTTCCGGACGTCCACGCCATTTGGGCTAGCAGGGAAGAGAAACCCTGAGTGGACTTGTATGACTCACGACTCAGTTGCCTGGTCGGGCCTGGGTATGTACACGACACTGAGGTAGTGACTTAAAAAGTGCCAGGGGTAGACGTGGATGTGGATGTGGTTGTGTAGGATGCTGGTTGGTTGTAACATACATACTCCGTATCCGGACACGAAATGTGGCGTGGTGCGTGTGATGCGGTACACTGGTAGTAGTATGGCGGATGTAGATGTCGATGTAAATGTATGGGAATATCCCAAATATGTAAGCACGGAGGTACGATTATTCGTACAATTCTATTCTTATGATCTACCGGTGCCACGCGTGGCCATGCCAATACCATCTAAAATACGCTTGCTCGTCCCCACACGGAGTACACTATACATACACATTAATACATAATGCAGGACTCCGGACCTGGATATGTCGGCACCGGCAATGCTCGAACCTCATATGATGCGGCCACGCCTTCTGCTCAGCCCGAGCGCCGTGTTCAGGCCCGCCTGTCCGACTCCCCTTATGAGTCACTCCGTAAGGTCCAGGACACCGCGCCGCCGTGTATGTCCACCAATTTCACCATCCCTTTGCGTCGTAGTTCTAGGGAGCCAGTATGTGATAGTACAAGAATCGGATATTGCAAAGTTGTCCGCTTTGGGGCAAGGCTAACACATATGTAACCATCTCGTGGCACTCTTGTCACTGGTCCGCCCACGTCCTGCATCTGCGACTCGGCTTCCACGGCAGCAAGTCCTGTCCACGTGCTCGGGGAAAGTCTTTGCCACCGAGATGACACGTGCTGCATGTCGGCTCACGCATGGCAAATGGGTGGTGTGCTTGCTGACGTGCCAAGGTACCTCCATATCTAGACTTGCATATCCAGTAGATCCGGTGGTAATCAACGACACCCGCCAAGATTCCTGCCAGGCTGGCTGCTACGGTGTCGTAAATCGCGCAAACAAGACAGGATAGAATCAGGTCAAGTGAGTTCCTTCTCTTCACCGACGGGCTCGCCCAAATCGTGGAGTGGCTCGTCGCTGGTGGCCTTCTTCTCCGCGATTTCCGGCACTGCAGGCCCGAAGCGGGATGAGATCTCGCTGTGGGAGCTGTCCGATGAGGTCGAGCTCGAACTTGACGGACTTCTCTGCTTGTCGCCGGCGTCGTCGCGCGAATCGGCCTGCTGCTCTTCGTCGCTGGGTGGAATCTGGTTGGTGGGGGCGAATCGACTTCGCACGCGGATGGCCTCGCCGTACTTGTAGAAGACGAAAGGGATGGGCGCCAGAAGGCATGCGACCCCACCGATCAGGGAGCCGCCGCCCCCGACGCCTAAAGAATGAAACATCTGGCTCGTGAACAGAGGGGCCGCAGCGCCACACGCTGAACGGCAAATCGTGTTCGCGGCCATCGCGCTGGCCGTGAACATCAAGTACGTATCGGTGAGGTAGTTGAGGTATGAAACAAAGATGATCATGATTGATGTGCTCAGGAACGTGCCCGCCAAAGTGGGCACGAACCAGTGGATGCTGTTGAAGTTGGCGGTCCAGGCGAACCAGAACATGGTGACGGCGAAGAGGACGCCGCCGAACATGGCGAGCGGCAATCTATCCTCAGGCTTGCGGGGGAGTCCGGCTTCCATTTTCTTCCTTTCGAGAGATGAATTGTAGAATATGACTGCTCCGCCAATGCATGCTCCGGCGACGGTGCCGATCAGTGGAAGCTCGCCGACGCCGGAATTCCAGCCCCGCATCTCCTGAAACACAATCGGGTAGATGGTGAACAGCATGTAGAGCAGAACATAGACAATCGAAAGATAGATGGCGACGAGGAAGGAGATGGTGTCGAACAGGATTTGCCAGGGTCGAAGGAGGGCGACTTTGAACATTGCGGCCAGATCGCGCCCTTGAGCTTCCGCAGGGGCCTGGATATTTTGATACTCCGGGATCCCTGTGGCCCGCAGTCGGCGAGCTTTGTTGACCAGAACCACGGCAGGAAGTGTCTCCGGGAGGGTAAACATCAGCAGCTGCGTCGCTCCTCCCAGCCACAGGAGCACGTAGAATGACCATCTCCAATTTTCTTTGAGCTCCAGGAATCCACTTATGACGGGCCCGATGGCAGGGCCGATAAAGGTCATCATGGAAAAGATGGCCATGGCGTTCCCTCGCTCGATCGGTCCCCAGACATCTGCCAGAACTCCGGGTGCATTGGTCAAAGGAGCACTGGCAAAGGTTCCGGTCAGGAGCCGCCCTACGAGCAGGGATCCGAAATTCGGGGCGAACGCACACAGGAAATTGAAGGCATTGTAGCAGGTGAATGTCGCGTAAAAGACATAGCGCCGGCCGTAGAATTCGGAAAGCGGGGCGAAGATGAGAGGTCCAGCGACATATCCCAACAGGAAGAGGGTGATGACGAGACCAGCGGCGATTTCGGACACATGGAAATGTTCAGAGATGCCCCGAAGACTGCCCGATGGACTGGAGGAAGCGAAAGTTGCGTTGCAGACGAGAACGACGGCCACTATCGTGCAATACCATCGACGCCTGGTTGACCATTCTTTGGGGTTCTCGATATCCCCAGGAGCGAAATCAAGCTGGCCGTATTGGTTGAGGAATGGCTTGACCGAGGAGTCGATCTTGCGGGAGCGGTAAGGTTTGGCAACAGGTCGAGAAAGAATCCTCTCTATTCTGTCCATGCCTGCTGTTGGGTATGGTCGTTGTGTCTGCGGCGGGCGACGAAAAGTGCATGACGACGGCCTTTTCATAGATCTGGACCCTTTGCCACGGGGGGATATTTTCTGAAACCCACGCCATGCAAGCCACTAAGTTAGCAAGACTCGCAGGATTGGTAAGGTTGTCAATGCTCTGTGTCCTCGGCTATACGGCACGTTTTCGCCCAGCCAACGGGGTTCAAGATGCAATGCTATGTCCGTGAACGACGGAAGAAAAGCTTGGTCTACTAGCACGTCATGGACATGCCGTGAGGTGTCCATGATTCGCCCGGAGACGTCGCTGGCGTGGTCGGCGCAAGGCTGGGTAGCATCATTGGTGGCCTTTTCCTTCCTTGGGCCCTCTTTGATCCGAGTTTTCGATATTCTGGCGATTTGCGCCTTTCGGGAGATCGACTCCAGAGCTTGTGGAGAGCAAATTGCTCGAAGATTCCCGCATGGGGACAAAAGTCAAAGATGCATGATCCCTAGCACCCCCCTTGCCCCTGAGCACAGCCTTCTTGTGAATGCGACCTCTGCTTGTGTACGAGTGAGCGGGTCTTGGAACGTGCACAGCGTGGTATGGATGACTTATCAGCATACGCATCCCTGCCAGTTGTGGGCTCCTTGTTGCCAAGGGACGGGCATCGCGCTTTTGCAGAGGCCGAGGAACGACAAACGCAGCCGTTGGTTACCTGACCATTGCCTAATTCTGGTTATTGTCAGCCTTAGCGATGGCCACCAAGCACTGCAGAGAACCCGTGTGGTGCGGTGCCCATAGAATACAGTCTCGATTTGATTGTAACGACGTGCGCCTCGTCAGCCTCGTCGTTGATCAAATGTGCGAATCGTGATGTGATGTTTCCTTCACCACACACAGTAAGCTTCTCGATCACTGAACCGGTAGGCTAGGATTAGGCACCCCTGCGAATTCCTTAACGCCGGGCCCGTCCGCTACCGGCACCTCTTTAGGGCATTGGGGGCCTAATGCTGGGGCTCCGTACATCGCACACAGTTTGTCCGTCTCTCACGCTTCGGCCAAGCTCCGGACGATAACGTCGGGTCGTTCTTTACCCTCTCTGTTACCTCGTACACAGTTCTGTATATCTTCCCTGTGAAACAATAATGAACGACCCACCGCACGTTCTTCTCTTTGGGGCCGGTAGCATTGGTTCCGTCTGTCTGTACCAGTTTCAGAGGGCCGGCTGTAGGGTCACAGCGGTCTGCCGCTCGAACTACGATGCCGTCAAGCGAGATGGCTTCTCTTTGAAGAGCTTGCGGTTTGGTGATGTGCAATTCAGGCCGGACTTAGTTGTCAGAAGTGCCGAGGAATGTGCCAGAGACGTCAGCTATGATTTTGTCTTTGTCACTACGAAATGCTTTCCGGGGTCGAAGCCATCGTTGAGTGAACTGATCCGGCCTTTTGTCCAAGGTCGCCCTCACACAGCCATCGTGCTAGCTCAGAACGGGATAGCGATCGAGGCTGAAGTCGCAGAAGCTTTTCCAGACAACCCTCTCTTGAGTTGCGTCGTCTACCTACCCGCATATCAGACGCAGCAAGGGGTAATTGAATACCCGGAGATGCTAAACCTGCTCGAGATTGGCACTTTCCCTGCCAACGGCCCGGAGTCACACAAGGACGCTGCAACCAAGCTGGCGAGTCTTGTGGTTGCTGGTGGTGGGCAGGCCGAAGTCCATGACGATATTCAGATTGCGCGCTGGTCCAAGATCTTGATGAATTGTTCCTGGAACCCAATCTGCGCGCTTGCACTGTGCACAGATGGAGACTTTCTGAACTCATCTGCCCCTTATGCATGGGAGCTGGGTTGGGG